AAGTCTTGACAGGGAGTGTGCTGTGTAGGAAGATGAGTAAGATGAGGTCTTTAATCGAGCCTGCGGAGGACATTCAGTCGCATGCGGGCTTCCACGGCTTCTGCCTTTCTCGGATTCCGGACATGATTCCAACTCGCAGCGCGCGTATGGCACAATGTCGCGAGGGAGCATGCAGGTGCTGTCTTCGCTTCGGAGGCTTTGTGGCGGTCATAAGCCAAGACATACCCCTGGGTCGTTGCCAAATCGGGGCTGTAGATCACGTTAGCGCCCGAGATTTCGCGTAGATAGATCCGTGGTCCTGGCCTTTGGGGACGGCCCAGATTCCGTCGCTCTACTCCAGACTCTTTAAATAACCCGGCGGGTTGCCTGACAAGAGACAGCTGGTGCGTGGATGGCCTTGATCGCACGTGTAGCTCATTCTGAAATCTCTGGATGCGACGTGGTTCTCCACTCCGAATTTCCTGAGCGAATTCAGATCGACGCCGTGATGCTGACATGTGCGGCCTCGGTGCGATAATTTTCTCTGGGCACTTCTGCAGCGGTCAATACTTCGGCGCCGTTGTCTCGAAACACGGTGTTGGGTTCGGATGAACTGATGCAGAGTTCCCGCGGTTTACCCAGCACTACTGATCAGTAACTGCCCAGGTGAGTTGCCACAGTTCTCCAAGGCGTCGGGCGAAAAGGCAAAAGCTAAAAGAATAGGCGTGCAGCTTTAGGCGGGGGGCCAACGGTTCGTTTCCTGAAGTTGGTCGCGAACAAACCTCTGTCGTATTTACCGTATCGCGCGGCGATAAAGGTGATAAGAAGAGGTGGTAAGCGCGATTGTAGCAGCTGCAAACAGAACAAAAAGCGTAGGTGTAGCAAGTGTAAGTTAAGTAGCTAGAACGTAGTAAAGATTTAGATTAATTTAAGTTATGTATTAAACTGTAGTAGCTAAAGGGCTAAGAGAGAAAGGGCTAATTAAGAGTGTAGTTGCGAGAGTGTGGTAGCGAAAAGCACACTTCAAAAGATAAAGGTGATAACCTAGCGATGTTGCGCAAGGCAACCTTGGAATCCATGGGCAGCTCTGATGTCATGACGCGATAACGAAACGATAGCCGAGAATGTCAGGTGCAGCTGAATCATACTCGCATTCTCATCTTGTGGAAATGATGTGACTTTCTTCCTTCGCTTCCGGACTATCGACAAAAGCCATTGTTCTCGTTAAGCTTCGGGGCTGCCGTGACACTGTCACTGTGCTCGACAGCACGGACGTTGACACAGACAGCCTCGCGTGTTCACGTTACCTACGCCTTCCTCCACATTTCGTACCCACCAACATCGCGCGGAGAGCGCGTTTTTCTGCTTCTTGAACGATTGGCTGGTACAGCACGTCGTCTGATGGATTTATTGGAGCTTGGTTTTCTACAGACATGCTCCAGAACAATTCTCCAAGGACTACGTAATCTTGTCAGGTACTCTATAGCGTATCTTGGACACCGTCACGACAGACACGCAACGCCATCTCGAAAACACAACCCAGTCCGATGTCCGAGTTCGATAGCAAGATACACCATGAACGTAAATCGGACGATACCCCGCGACAGACTACCCCGCGAAGACTCACTTTCCCCGGATCCGCAGCAGTCTCGTCATGTCGTTCGAGCGGCTCGTTCGGTATCGATGAACGATAGTAATCGGGACGCGCCAACGCACCAAGACCATGGCGCAGTATTCCAGTCTCAACAATACATGATTTGGGAATTCCACGCCTGGAATGAACACTTGGCAAACCACTGACATCGGCCCAATGCGATCACTTCTACGACAAAGCAATCTCGACTCTCAACGCTCCGCCAGCTGAGACTGGGGTGCTGTCAATTCGCATCGCATTCCGCCAAAATTGCATGAAGGTTGAGGCATACATTGTTCTCAGAAGGACCCATTTGCTCACATTCAATAGTGCGTATGCAGCAAACCAGAATGTGACACGGAATTCAGCCACTACTATTGCCACTTTGCTCGCATTTTGCACCTCAGATCGAGCCATCTACAGGTAACTCTCGAATTCGTCGTCTGATGCTGTATCCGATGATACATAAGATCCCAATTCTCTGCTCGCATTGGAAGCAATAGTATTCATAGATTCCAAAAGTAAAACACTCCATTCTCGGCCACCTCCACAATCGCACAAGCAGTGTGGCCTCTCGGCATCACTGTTCCTCGTTTCCGGTCGATTACATTGATGCAGCGTTCGACCGCGTCTGGCAGCACTCGTTCGGCGCCGGCTGCGTCGAGGTGTTGCGAAGTATCGTGGTCATATCTGAAATGGTTACAGACGAGCAATCAGAGCTTTTTATCAGCACATAGGACAGGGAAGAGACGCTGCCGACTCGTTGAATCCGAAAGCTTTAGTCGTCTACCGAGTGGATCCACCACCAACAATAGCAAGGTCGCGATAGCGTTACAGTGATGATTGGAAACGTTGTTCGAGTTACAGCAGCTTTGATGATGACGACCAATATATCACAGGCTCTGTCTACTACTACTACTGCCGCAATCGCCGATAAGGCCAAATTCCTCATTCAATACCTAAGTACCGCCCTGTTACCTGGTTTGTCCACAAGTACAAACCGTCGCAGGATCGTTATCATGTTCCCTGAGGCAACCTAACACCCGGACGTGGCCAGAGCAGTCGAGTGTACGCGAGTGGCGCCACAGCTGGTAGGTATCGGCGCGGAGACATGAGAGGTACCTAGGTATACCTGGGTCAGGGCCTTTGGCGGATCGCTACAGTAAAGCTCACGGAAGCAACCATACAAGGCATCACAATCGTACATTACTAAAGAGGAAGCACTGCTGTCATCTAACATACATCCTCGCCAGGGACAGCCGTGCCGGAACTAGAAAGTCAACCAGCGCAACAGAATGGATTGGCGCGGGATATACCGCAGGATGTCTCTTTGTACTACAGGAATCGGGTTCAATGTAGTGGGGTCTGATTGTACCAGCGCCTTACGGTCCACATGTGGCGCAACAAGAGAGAGCGCAAAACCCCCTCCATTGACGATACAACACTGACAAGGACCCCCGCCATTACGTGATGCATCGGCACGGTGCAGATTGAAGGAAGTCTCTAAACACTGCAGGCAACAAACTTCATACGAAGGTGTCTCTGTACCAGCGTCGGGAAGTTTGTCAATGGCGCACCAGGATCAAACACGGGAACCCCGATTACATGTCAGGAATGTGAACCTAGATTTGCTACCAAGATACTTTGAAGAGGAGAGTGGCCATATCATATTCTTGAAAAAAGATTGGTATGAAGCAGTTCCGTATGGGTATGAAGTCTCTGGTGCAAGCAATAAGCCGCGCCGGTTTGAGAGGGCGACAGCGTTGCCAAGTAGATACCTGGGTAAGTGGCTTAGTTTTCATCACCACATACACCATCGGGGGAACATATAGAGATTTGAAGAACATGGTAAGACTAGCAGACCTCACATATGTACGTGGACGTGGTGGCTATCTTGCAAGTGCCCGCACGTGATAGCCCGCACTCCACCGCCACGTGCCGGGCTGCACCGCGATACCGGAGCTCTCTCACCTGCAACCTGCAACAGCATCAAGCAGCGCATACAAATACAATGGCTCTCGCACATCTCCTCCATCACTCTTTCAACCCACTACTTCCAACTTCTTCATCTGCACCATCATCTGCACAAGCTCTGACTAGTATTGCAAGAGCGCTGCCCAAGCAAAACCACTTCAGCAACCTACAACACCAGACAATTCCTATCGCAAGCGGTGACGATCTCCCCAGACGCCGCCATGGCCGGAAATGGCGCGCAAGTCAGCGCGCCATCTCCAACACCGACAACAAGCTCACCACATTCCATCGATGACCACGCGCCTTCCACACCCAAGCATGAATACTGATTGTAGAGAGCTTTGAAGCTGTCTCACGCGAGTTGCAATTCACGACAAAACAGGCCCACAAAGCCTACCGCGCCTACTCCATTTGGAGTAGCGCAAGCGACAGCCCTTACACCATCCGCAGCTTACCCCACACCTGAGAACGCGGACAGAGGAACAAGCGACATGACGCAGAGGTAAGTTCTGGCGCAATACTCGTAAACATATACTGACTTCGTAGATGAAACACGGGATCGATATCAAGTACCCAGTCGCAATGCAGGCATACGACCCCCAAGACATGTTCTTTGCGAAATCTCACATCAAGTCCTGGACAAAATAAGAGTCGGCGAAAAAATATGACAGGCTGGCAGGAGCGTATATGGCACTGAGACATGAACACATCTCCGTCCTTGTCGATCAAGACAGCAAGGAGAAGAACGCACGCCGCCAAGTAGTCGACTCGCGCCAATCCCTCGCCCATGGAGCGCAGATGCTATTGTGGAATTCTGAAGCGGCGTTCGAAGCTTCGAAGGCGATCGCAGGAAGGATTTGTCAACCATCGATCTGGACTGACCCGCAGACACAGACACAGTACACCGGGAAAGCACCAGGATCATTCACACCACAAGAGTCATAGCATATCCTCAATCTGCACAAGAACGCCTGTATCAAAGACTTGAAAGGCGCCACACTGGCGGCTACCGGCGCGAACCTCGAAGAATTCGGCATCGACGAGACCATCGTTACGCAGGCGTACAATCTACCTGGCGATAGATCGTGGTTTGAGAAGATCGGTGACAATTGGAAGGACGCTGCCAGAGATGTACTGGTGGACAGCAGCATGGATCTCAGCATTATCGAAGAAACACCGCCCCGGCGCCAAATTCGCTTCCTGCCGGCGCGTACGAAAGGCCGCATTACCCTGCCGACATCGCTCTTAGCTTCTCGGTCTGCCGACGTATAAAAGCGACTTGTCTGCGGCTCTTTCTTCCTTCTTACACACTCATCTTTTGAAAATGAAGATTTCCAAAAAGAAGAAAAATTGAAAATATGTGGTGCGGTCTCCAGACCTTGGTCTTGTGTCAAAAAGTCAAGAAACCGAAACCATGTGCGCTCGTCTACCCTCACTCTGGGACGTCCCCGTATCATTTCAAAACGACGCATCGAATGTTATGTTCGATCCCCTCTTGGCGAGCGAGGACCCTTTCAATGCGGCGCAATCTGGCTTCCCGTTGACCGATCTGAAGCGCGAGTCTTTGACCGAACCGGCGCACGATCAGGTCATTTCGGCGCCTAAAGATGAGAAGAAAAAGAGAAAATTGGGTCCCGAAGTTGCCGAGACAGAGCTGAAGAGAAGGATCGAAAGGGCCGACACGTATTGGGTATTGGACGTTACAACTGAGGATATCCAACGCACAGTGAGTAATCCCTAACTGATAACTCGAGCATGTATACTGACCTTGATCTTTTAGCTAAGCTTCGGTACCGGCCGCTCCCATTTCAAACAATACAACGTCATATATCCGTCGGATGCGAAACCACTAGATGATGATCCCGCCGTCGCCGCCTGGATCTGTACAGCTGACCACGCTTGCCAATTTCGTCCCCTACATGGTCATGGCGACCCGACGTGCATTCTTTGCCGGAAAAAGACAAAAAAGCTGGCCACGGATTGCTTTATCCCAAAATCGAGCGTCGCCACGAACATGGCCGTGAACAGTACAATCAGAGAGGAGGGCAATGTCTGCAAGCAGAACAAGAACCAAGAGGGTGAATAGACAGGCGGCGCCAAACGTGGGTTGAATGTCGCCAAATATGTCAAGGACTTCATCGGCTTGACATCAGCATGGATGCTAGGCGATGTCTACACGCGCGAATACCGGAAACTCCCCACTCTGATCCCCAGGGTAGTCAAGACTGTAGATCTAATAAATATGTCGCTCGCGACTCCTATAATAACAAAGAACGACATCGATGAGAAAATGATGAACTTCCGCACTTATTGCTTTGTTCCAGTCTAGAATTCGCCGTGCAATACCAAATGGGGATAGAGATACAAGCCCCAGGCTGCTACATCGACGTTGTATCCAACAAGATTGTAGTTGCAAAGCACTCCTGATGACTACATCAGCTCCCATCATTGACAAGAATGTTTCAATAGAGCACTGTATTGACTAAATCTAGCGCTGACTTCTATAGGACTACTGTTGTAAGGTCAGCCTGCCAACTACACAAGTGTTGAGGGGAGAGTCGCGTTACTCCGAACATGACTGACGACCTCCTAGCCACCTCAGTAAGAAACTTCTAGCACCTGATAATGTTACGAAGGTAGCTATACTACCCAGGTATCTCGTGATTTAAGCAGCTTCTGCTACTCTTCGCACGGACGATGCCTGGCTCAAGACCGATCCCGTTGTTTTGAACCAAGCAGTATTCCCGCCAGCTGGCAGTCACGGCATTCTTACGCCTGGGGAGCCGATGAAGTCTAGTGCGCTGAATCGTCATCTGCGCGAGGTATGCATCGACACGGGCTTGCCGCAACGCGAAACAATGTATTGCTTTCGTCGAATACGTATCATCGAAACCAAACATGAACACGGAGAGGCAGCGGCGCAGGTAATTGCAGCACATGCCGACGACTCGAACGCCCACGAATACTACGACACGGTGGCCGTCGGCGACATCGACATTTATTCCTACATACGAGGCAGTGCAGATGAGCCGGTGAGACGCAAGAAAGATGTTTGAGCAGGCAGCTCAGACAGGATACGTACAGCATGAGAAATACGGGATCATGCTTCACGCTGATGTCGAAGACCGGTTGCGCGAACGCGAGCGAGAACACCCCGAGTTAGTCGAGATAGTCCAATCCTTCAAAACAACGATCGACGACATGCGCGAGTTTCTGATACGGAAACAGCGGCGATGATACACCCAGATCGTGAGGCTATACCGGCAGTGTCACTGGCGCTTACAAGGTCATGTTAAGGGATGGAAACTCTGTAGCATAGCTTGTCCTTAAGGAGCTTGGGGCTGTCTCCTACAAGCGAAACAAGGTACTGAAGGAGATCCGCGGGAATATACGGAACGCTATACTGGAAGAGCTAGCCCAAGAGATGCGATCTTTCCTGAAAACTTCCACCAAGTCAACAACTTCATGACTGACTACCGGTAAAGATGGCGCGCCAACATCGATCAGCAAACAGGCCAAAGATGCCCAGACCGAGCTTGAGGGTCTCCACTGTGAGCACATGAGCGCTCTCGAGGCCTTGAAAAGGCGAGATGAACAGAATGAGATGACCGAGCCAGATGTTGATCAGGAAGAAGGTCTAGACGTGGATTCGCTCGAGGAAAACGACGGCAAGCAGCACCCACGGGATGAGCCGTTGCAGTGGCAAGATTTACTAAAAGAGGACATCCAGGTGAACATTGCTGATGGGGTTGAGGAATGCGATGCGGCTACAAAAGAAGAACGTGCAGCATTCCTTCGGGCCATCAGTGCGCATACAAGTCCGACCATCTCTGGGTTGAAGTGTTGGCTCTGCCACTTCGATCGAACAATGTCGCAGGCCATCAAAGACACGAAATGGAACCGTGCGCAACTCGAGAAACATATGCAAGAAAAGGTTCACACGCGCCGCGAAGAGCTTATAAACGCGTTCAACGAGTTGAAGATTGCCGGATGCACAGGGAGCGCGTCATGTCCCTTGTGCCCAGACTGGTCGTACAAGACCGCAGCTAAGTGGCTGGTTCACGTTGAGCGTCATCATCAAGAGGAGCTGTGGTTGATGGAGGAGGATGATGGGGAAGAGAACAATGACGATGAGGACTCCGATTTTGAGAACTTGTGAGAGTGTTCTAGTCTGTAGTATGTCGAATGGAGATCGTATGGCCATAAGATACAACGTGATGCTTGCGAATGCGATGGCCTTACTGCTCGGTCATACCATCAGAACGAGCACAGTGCATGTACCACGTCGTTGATCATCTTCTCCCACTTACTGATGTCTTCTCTCTTTTCATCCACATTAACACAGTTGGCATATTCCCGCACTGAAGTTACCATATTCGGCGCCTCGATACGTCTGCATAACCAAGACTTCGTGCTGATCTGCGATTTCTTATCCATGTCCTGCCTGGTTGTTGCTACACTTCGCGCTGAACTTACTCAGCTGGACGCGTTGATACCTAGGTATACTCGCGCAGTCAGTATATCTCTCAACATATCTATCTTCTCTATCTGTAGATGTTTTGTGTTTATTCAAGGTCGGCAAAGTATAGCGCTGGAACAAAACAGCGTGACACGGCTACGTAGACAGATTGATTGACGTTACATTGCTGTTCTACATGTTCTGGAGGCAGCGAGAAACGTAAGATTCTACTTCGAAGTAGTTCAACTCGTAATTTACGTCATTAGCCCCACGGGCTTGCTTGTGTTCGTTCTCCATGTACTCGTGCGGAAGTCTTTTCCGCGCTAGAACATTTAAGCATAGCACGCTTCCCTTGTTATGAAGATAGAGCGTAGAGACGTGTCTTTCAGTTGGTCTTTTCATAAACGCGTAGTATAAATTCTCCGTGCGAGGGTAGAACAATGTGGCGCGTGCGCGAATGCAAAGCAAGATCGCATGCTCAAACATAGTTATACGTCCTGGAACATGTCTAGTAAGACATAGGCACCATATGTTCTTTGCGCTGAAGCCTACCTGCGGTATAGTGCGCTGATTGGTATGAAGACACTTAGCACGGCCTCTTCTTCGCCTGTCTTTATCATGATTAGGCCGCCCTGGTTTTCTAAGTATCGGTGCTGTAACTATACTACAAAACACTCGCTAGCTTTTTATACACTACTGCACATTTACCTTCTTACTATTAGACATGTTCTAGTATTAGAACGAATTGCCACATGTGACTTAGACTGCAGTCATTCTGACGCCGGTTCACGCTATAGTTTGCTTACAGATGTAGGCCCGACTTGCATTGCACGACTGTCTTCTCGAGTCTCTTGAGTGCGGCTTACTTCCATGCTATGACAGACATGCAAGTCTAGCGAAGATACTGCTGCAGTTAACTCTTGTGCCAGTTGAAAATGTTCAAGTGCATAGCCTAACACTTCTCGGCAAAGGTGCTTAAGGTGGTCTTCTACTTTACATTGTTTTCTGCTATCACGCATCTAGTGCCGGTACTTAGTAGTCAAAGTCTTTGACGCTGCTTACATCCCGCACAAGACATCTTCATACCACGTTTACACTCTCTAGGATTACACTGCCGAGAATCACTTTGCCTTTACCTGGACAGGATTCCGTATAACCTGCCGTAAAGATATTCGCGGTATCTGTCCCCGAGAAACTACTACGACAGAAGATGATGTATACTCTAACACTCGTAGTACAATTCAATCCGTAGATGTCTCGCTACTGTGCGTACTTTAACTCTCAATGTGCCACTTAGTTTGTACACCGGGCAATACATGTATACGCCTGCCTCCGTAGTCCTATCACAGGCTAAAGCAACAAGATCGTTGTAGTCGTGAGATGCAAATCCTTACGATCTTTTCGATACTGGTCGAGAGCGATATTAGTCTTGGATACCTCTTCGATGATACCCACCTGCTCAGCTATTCCATAGTTATCGCAACATCTTAACCATGCTTCAAGACCTCATCTCGATCCATCAAAGAGCATTGCAGACTTCTGCGTTATCTAAAGGCACGACGTCAAGTTCTTCCATAGGGATGTGGCAGTGTCTACTTCGTTGGAAGTGGATTGAGGGACTGATATGTCCTCTGCAAACAAGAACAACAGACACGCAGTTTTCTAGATCATGCACAGATATGCAATGAGGCTTTTCTCGAGCCGAAGCGGAGGGGCAATTACCTCGAAAGTGGGTCTTGTTCGTGAATACCCCTTCGCCATGTCTGACACTATCCCCAAATCTTACTAGACCTCCTGACTTACCAAACCAGCGTGATAACCTGCTCTGTACCTCGATTGCCTTGGATTATTGACGAACCAATTTCAAATTTCTCCATCAACAAGCAGCTCTTCGAGTTGCAACACCGGCCGCTTCGGAGAAGTGGCTCCTTTCAAAAAGGGCAAAATCGGGCTTGTGGTTTAGTGGTATAATACTCCCTTAGCATGGGAGTGGTCCAGGGTTCGATTCCCTGCAAGTCCAGCTTTTTGCGCTCCCAGAGGTATAGGATGGGTCGTGGTTGTGGTGGTGAAGCTTTGGGAGGGGGGTGGTGGACATGGGATGAAAGCTTTTTTTTTGGCCGGATGTGGGGGCACCACGACACCACCCGAGATTTTGCACGGGTCTAGAACATCGAAATATCTTTCCCAGAATTCAGGGTCTACCTTAGGAAGACGAACATCACTTTGCGAACGCTGTTCAACGGTGGTGCTGCATGCGTGGATGTATTTGATGTGTACGCTGGTTGGCATTGAAGACGGCAAAGAGCCCTTCACGACACCATTTGAAACGAATCTCACCTTGACATCTTCAACCGATACCAGATCTCTAGATCTCCCGCTGACCACCTGTTCGTGCCTCGGCATCAATATTACACGCAGCCACGTGTGCGATCGTTCGGTTACTCAATCTTTCCACGCCAGGTTAGCTGCATATGCATCCCGAGATCTGCACGAGGCCTGTCAAGCGATGCTTCCCCTTCCAATGACGTCGAAGCCGACTTAGGTACCATGAACAGCAGTTCCAATCACGCGCATATCTGCAATGTGCGTGAAATCAAAGCCCTATTGTTCCGGACCCTTACAGGAACACAAACCACAGCGACGCCGTCCCTGATTTCGCGCAAACACCAGACCCACCTTGAAGGCAAGAATGAACGGTGAAGCTAGACCGTATTTCGCTTAGACTAGCGGCAAGCACAACCCAGCCCGAACAGATATTTTCAGCAGTCGACTTTGTGCCCCTCGCTCTCTCTCTCCAACGATCCAACCCCTCAGCTTCCGATAATCAAACAATTGGTGGTGTGCGACTTTTGAACGACTATTTCAATACCTTTTTAGAAGACAATCATCTTCTAACGCCACTCCCTTACCCTTTCGATACTTCGGTAAGAACAAAGCCCGACATCACGGCATGGCGCGTGCGGACTACAGCTAACACTCACCAGTCTTCCAACTCTACAAAATGGATTACCAAGCACCTGCTCCCGCTGCCGGTGGCCGTGGCTGCTACAACTGTAAGTTGACTCTATACCCACGATGCGGTGACACGGTCCGAATGCGGCCCCGCTTTGTATATCAGATCGCGAGAGCGTCACGCCTCAGGGTCCAGCGACAGGTCCAGATCGGTATTCAAGCGCGGAGACCACCATGCCTGACTCGGAACTGCATCTTTGAACACGCGCTGACCATGTCCAGGCGGAGACTCCTCCCACCGCGCTGCCGAGTGCCCCACCAAGGGTACCCCAACCTGCTACAACTGCGGCGAGAAGGGCCACGTGAGCCGCGAGTGCACCTCTCCCCAGGCTGAGAAGACCTGCTACCGCTGCGGTGGCACCGGCCACATCTCGCGCGAGTGCACCAAGGACGGCGGTGCCCAGATGGGTGGCCGTGGCGCCCCCAGCCAAGAGTGCTACAAGTGCGGCCAGGTCGGTCACATTGCCCGCAACTGCTCCCAGGGCGGTGGCTACGGCGGTGCTGCTGGCGGCTACGGCGGCGGTCGTGGAGGCTACGGCGGTGGTGCCGGTGGCTACGGAGGTGCTCGCCAAACCACGTGTTATTCGTGCGGTGGTTTCGGTCACATGAGCCGTGACTGCACCCAGGGACAGAAGTGCTACAACTGTAAGTACACAGCGATGAACTTGGAAGAGCATGACTAACCTTTTTCAGGCGGCGAGGTTGGCCATCTGTCGCGCGACTGCCCCCAGGAGACTTCATCTGAGCGCGTGTGCTACCGCTGCAAGCAGCCCGGCCACGTCCAGAGCGCCTGCCCCCAGTAGGGTGTTCCAGATACCGTCGATGTTTTGATCTGGAACGAGTTTGGAACTACCAAGTCGCTCTGATAGCATGAGCGACGTTGGAGATTGCGCCCACGATGTGACGAATCATCGACATGCTTACGATTTCTTTTCTTGTATATTTTCATTCAGCGGCTCGCTGCCGTTTTTCGACGCTTCACGAAAAGCACATCGTCGCCCGGGCATGATTGGACGGCCTTTTCCTGTTTTGGCTGTACGTCAAGAGAGTTGGTTATGGGAAAAAGTCTTGATCCAGGAAGAGCGTTTGGTGGGAGATACAATGTGGGTGGATGGGAGAGCGGATGCTTGATGCGAGCAATGAATGAAGCAGTGCGTGGTCTGCACGACGACTGTGGCTGTAGGAGAGCGAGGTGTTCTCTCGTTTTGGCGGATGACTGGTGTCTGGGATGCGAATTAGCAACTGAGAGCCGGCTGAGGTTGAATGAAGAAACCGGAAAAGTCCCCACGATTGGGTGGGCTCCTCAACTTATACTGCGCCGTTTTTATGCACCGTGATGGATGTGCGCTAAACTAGTTTGTCAAGGTGAGTGGGATGCTGCCATGCATGTACTCTTGGGTGGCTCCGTGATGTCACACTTGGCAACCGAACTCCTGATAGTGACATGTCAAAGTCACAAGGAGCAGATTGTACTAGACTAAGAAGCGAATGTAGACGCTGTACTACATCTCGTGATCATCTCGTGATGACTGTGTGATGGCATTTGGCGGGTTGGAGTTGGAGGGGAAGGCGCCAAGACCCTGTGCCTTCCCGCCGTTAACGGTTAGTTTACATCCCGCCTAAACCCAAACAACTTATCGACAGCGCCCTCGCGATTCAACCGCGACACCACCGACGCGTCACCCGCA